TATCAAGTTAAAGAATCCTGCATGGAATAGATGTAAAATGTCTTGTATAAACACGTTTTTTAACTTATTTTAACTTGAGCACTGTTTTTAGAATGGTGCGTCATGTGCAAGATGCTGCAAAAGACCCAAGACATGAGTGCAACGGTCAAACACCCCTGTTTAGCAGAAGTTCACACAGAAAAACAATAGAAAAGCAGAGCAGTGGAATGCAAAAATCTGTTTTGTGTAAATCAGTGCCACCCACCTGTCGCGTCTTGGCAGATGTTTCGACAAACGGGACCCCGTAACTTCTGGCGAGCTCTTGGGCTTGACGCATCTCTACAGTACGAGAGGCCAGGTCACATTTGTTCCCCACCAGCACCATCGGGACATTGTCACTGTCTTTGACACGGTTTATTTGCTCCCTGCACAGAAACAAAATGGTTGATTTTTTCACACAGACTGATTAGTGAATTTCTGCTAGGACTTTCTCTAATCACACACTGGTTTCCTTACTCATCAACTGCAAATCACTGAATTGACATCTCATTTTTAGCTCAAAATCAGTCTAGAAACTTTTCCATTTGATCACATTTGAAGTTTTCAGGAAGTGAAACGCTTTATTTGCGGTTAGTCGACACAGACCCAACACACCCATCTTGAGATCCACAAAACAAAAATATAATATAAGAGTATTTAAAAGATAGTCCACCCAAAAATGTTTCCATTCCAATTGACTTCTATTGTATTTTTTGTCCATACAATGGAAGTCAAAGGGACCGGAAACTGGTTACCAACATTCTTCAAAATCCTCAGAAAAATCCACAGAAGAAAAGTCATGTGGTTTTGGAATGACACAAGGGTGAGTAAATAATGTCAATCTTCATTTTTGGGGGGATTATCGCTTTAAGTCTGGAAGAATATTTTTGATGGTAACTGATGCTGAATATCCTTTACGTATATCAGTCTATTCTAATGTGTTTGGCTGTATACCTGTAAAGATGTACGTCCTCAAAGGACTTTGCGTTGTTGATGGCAAACACACACAGAAAGCCCTCTCCTGTCCTCATATACTGGTCTCTCATGGCACTGTACTCCTCCTGACCTGCGGTGTCCAGGATGTCCAGCAAACACGTCTCTCCATCAATCACAACCTGCTTTCTGTAAGAATCCTGCATGGAATAGACGTAAAAATCTGAGTTTTTACACATTAATATGATCAACAAAGAATTCACATGTTATACTCTGAATACATTATTTATTTTTGGAAAAACAATAACAACAACAAAAAAAGACTTAAAAATCTTAATGGGATAGTCCACCCAAAAACGAAAATTGTCATTATTTACTCCCCCTCATGTCATTTCAAACCTGCACGCATTTATTTCTTCTGGGGAGCATGAAAGAAGATATTTTGAAGAATGTTGATAGTCAAACAGTTTTGGGTCCCACTGACTTCCATAATTATTTTGAAATGAAAGTCAATGGTACACAAAACAGATTGACTGCCAGCATTCTTGAAAATATCTTGTTTTGTGTTCCACAGAAGAAAGAAATTCATAGATGTTTGAAACGAAATAAGGAGGAAGTAAATGATGATACAAATTTCATTTTGGGGTGGACTATCCCTTTAAAGAAGGTGAACTCGTACCTCAATAGTGGGGTCATACTCGTCTACAAAGTGATTCTGAATAAGCTGGATGGTCAGTGCACTTTTCCCAACGCCACCAGCCCCAACAACTACCAGCTTGTATTCTGTCATTCTGGATGAGAGAGGGTGAATGTGAAGAGGGTTAGAAACAGAAAACAGTAGTCTTAATGGATTTAATCAGAAGCTACTTGGGAAAAACATAACCTTTACAGATACAAGCTTCTTACTCTGCCTGATACTATTTTGCCAGCGTTAAAAGACTGAACTTAAAACAAGATAAGTTCACTTTCACTGTATGGAAAACAAATGCACTGAAAGAGAATGGTGACCGAGGCTGTCATTCTGCGTAACGTCTCCTTTTGTGTTCAACGGAAGAAAGAAAAGTCATATGGGCTTGGATCAACATGAGGGTGGGTAAATGATGACACAATTTTCGTTTTCTGGGCGAACTGTCCCTTTAATAACCGGAAAAGAACATACATATTACATAAGGTGGTTGACTGAGATTTTAAGTCGCTGCATTACGTCAACAAATAATATTTGAAGACATTTAAGACTAAGCTTTAAGATATTGTTTACTCCGTTCCTATCACATTTACTTAGCCGGCAAGAAACACACGGAAACAAGAGCTCCTTATAGCTTTATCTCAACTTATATCAACAGGTAAGAAGTTATTTATCGGCTTATTTGTGTATTTTACCTCGCGTGTGGTTGTTAAATCAGTTCGGCTCGCCCAAACGAAGCGCCTCGAGTTGAATTAGAATTGAATGAAGTCCAAGGATTAGCCCCTGAGCCACATTACGATCGACCAGACAACTAAACTCTCCCGAGAGTCGAAGACAGGCTGGAATTATTCGGGCTGATGAAAGTCCACCCGTAAAAAAACACAAAAAACCTTCTTGTTTTAAATATGTTTCTCTACTCTGTACAAATTTCACGATAACCCAAATAAATCCGCCCTTAGAGGCATTAGCAGCTCCTCTCGGCTAGACTCTCCCAGATTCATTGAGGGCGAGGAGGGGGTGGGATCACTGGAGGAGATGACCAATGAGATTTAGCCGGCCCGTCGGATTTTTGAATTCTATTGGGCGAGGAATAAACGGAAGTAAGAATTGACCAATGGTAGTGCAATGCCTCTTTCCAATTTCTTTCTCATGTCCCGCCCCGTGAATATGGACCAATGGGATTCGTTTTACATATTAAAAGGCCAAAGATGCACGCCATCAAAGGTCTCCGTTCATACAGTAATCGCTGTACGTTTCACCTAGCCCTTAAAAGAACATAAAATATACCTCAGAAAATACATTTAGTGCTAGTTTCTTAAACCTAATTGCATTTACAAATAATGCATTTTGCAAATAATAATTTTATTAATGCAGTCTGCAGAGGGCTTACAATGATTGAGGAATTCACCATGAAAGGGGAAACTGTAGTCAATTGCAAAAGTCTAATAAATAATCTAAGAAATAATAATACAAATGATCCCAATAAAAAAAAAATTGTGTTGAGTATTTAAACAAATTGTGTAATGCTTTTGCCTTTTCCTTCTAATTATTATACATTCTTATTTTATTTTGTTTAGCATGTGTAAATATGTATGTCTATAATTTAATGTTAAAAGTGCTTTGGCAATGTAAAGCCTTTTACCAAATCTACTTGAAGCTAAATCTGGTCAAATAAAACGCTATTATTTGAGTTTATTTTAATTTATTCATTTTGACCACTAGCTGTCACTGACAACAACACAACAAAAAACTCTCTGGTGCAAAGATGCTTTCTCTCTCTCTGAATGACAGATGGATAGAGGGATTATCTTGGTGATTTTAGGCAAAGATTCGAGGACAGCAGATGCCCTCTGTGGGTGGAGAGGAGCATTATGGAGGGCAGAATGGAGAGATGAATAAAGGTGTAAGCAGAAAAAAACTGACGCACGTGGGCAAGTAATCAGAGTGATGCTGGAAAAAAATGGAATTTGGCTTGTATTGTAATGCAGATTCATACAAACACATCGCCTACCACACGTCTGCTGTCTCGAACAGTTTCTTGTGCCTGTTTGATCGGTTATTATTGCAAAGAATGAATGCTACACACTTAATACATTTAATTAGTTTTATTGTACACAGGGAATTTTTTCACATATACAATTTGTACACTTTTTTTATTGTTATTATATTATTATATACTATTTTTTTCTCCAAAGGGAAACATTTTTAGTTGTTTTGTTTATATTGTGCTGACAAGTCAAGTTACATTTAGGAAAACAAAAGAAAGAAACAAATTAAATGTTCAGGTAAGAAGTGCAAAAAAATACAAACACATGAAGCAGAATAACATCAAATTATGGGGCAGAATCAGACTGATTGGTTCCCTAAACTCATACTGCACTCTGATTGAGTGGCCTCTAAATGGATGTACACGATGAGGAGAAATCTGCGAATGCTGAGACTACAACCCACCAACTTCCCACACTGATCTAGAATCTCAGAATTTCGGCACTTACTCCTTGTAATTCACCTGGCATTTTGTTTATTTCTGTGTTTGTGTGGGTCCATATATTTGGACTTTTGGCATTCCTGTTGCTCAAACAGCAGAGTGTGGCATCAGCAATGCCAAAATCATGGGTTCAGTTCCCATCTACCTTTTGGATAAATGTAAATGTACTGTGTAAATGAAGTTCCTTAACGTAAGTTAGGGAGGAGCGAGCCCATCTAATCTTTCAATCAACAGCCAGAGTATATAAGCAGCTGCTTACCTCTCTCCAGTCTCAGCTGTTCCAGCATCCCTCCACCTCCCCAATCTCCACCTTCATTTTAGGTACCTTGCCCTTTGTAATCATCCTATATCAAGTCCCTGGGGGTATATCAGAGCTCGAGTTGAAGCTGCTTCATCAAGCCCCTCATCAGTGGACAGCAAGCCAAATAAGTTTACACACAATTTCCTTAAGATTATATGGGCAAACAAACTTGTTAAATGACTATAAATTTGCATGGCAGTAATATCAGTAAACCTTTAATGTGCATAAAACAGATTCATCCACAGATTGATTGAATATGTGTGCATGTACTGTGTGTAAGCTTGTGAAAATGTGTATATGTGAGTAATATAGTACATCAAAGGATGAAAACACTTGTGCACTCACCCAATGATGAAGATCTGGGTTGTTTAAACTCGCACACACATTCAGTCATGTTGAAAGGACTAGTTTAGCCCAAAATGAATTAAACCTCATTTCTACAATATATGTAAAATATTTAACACACACACACACACACACATATAAACAAACTTATAAACCACATAAAGAGTAAATAATGACAGAATTGTCTTTTTCAGTGACTGTCCCTTTAAGGATATTGGATATTAATGTGCATAAAACAGATTCATCCACAGATTGATTGAATATGTGTGCATGTACTGTGTGTAAGCTTGTGAAAATGTGTATATGTGAGTAATATAGTACATCAAACGATGAAAACACTTGTGCACTCACCCAATGATGAAGATCTGGGTTGTTTAAACTCGCACACACATACGGTCATGTTGAAAGGACTAGTTTAGCCCAAAATGAATTAAACCTAATTTCTACAATATATGTAAAATATTTAACACACACACACACACACATATAAACAAACTTATAAACCACATAAAGAGTAAATAATGACAGAATTGTCTTTTTCAGTGACTGTCCCTTTAAGGATATTGGATATATGGATATAAGTGCACAAACTTATGATCAAATAAATGTCTACACATCCACAGATTTGCTTGAACCCTTTTAAACCATTTAAAGCACTGGATAAAACAAAAGAAACTGAGCACAGTACGGAAATTTACACACACACTCACCATGAGCACACACACAAAAGCTCAGATACTGTATACTCGTACACCACAACCATAAACATGTCTAACATCACTGTCATTTTAATTGCATTACAGTGATTTTGGCAGGAAGCCTATAATACTGAACATATAATTCACAGAGCACCACTGTATTCTCAATCTGACACAAATGACTCACATCTACACACACATACACTTCAGTGTGTATGTTTATAGAACAATCATCACATAATCTGATCATCAGTTTGGAAACTCATTTGCTTATTCACACACTCACACATTCACTCACTCACTGTGTCTATTTATTTACTCTGTATTGATCTTTATTCCTCTTTATAACTCTTAGATATCGACTCTAAGTGGTTTCTTCCCACTATGTGAGCTCTCTCTCTCCCTCTCCGCTATATAAATAACTATTTGTCCCGACTGGTTGAACATATTCTTCTGTTTTATCCCAATCTGATACCCATCCTGCCCCAGAACCTCCTCCATTCGGACCACCAGAATGGGGATTATTTATAGCTCCATACTGTCCACCAGTCCTGTACAGCTCTTCCGTTTCATTGGCTAGTTCGTCCTCTCCCAGAATGCCACACTTCTCCTCACTGGTATTCTCAGCATCCGCCCATGGCTGCTTCTCACCTGATGCAAAGATCCCTGAGAACATATTCAAATCCAGCATTTCAGGAGAGAAATGACAAAAATTATTTAGAATATTCATTATTTGTGAAATAAAAAGAGATTTCAACATGTTTGCATGTTGAAATTATGACTAGCTGTCTGAACACAACATACCATAAAAGATCACACCCCCATAATGCACCAGTGCTGCAATGAGGAAGACATACTGCCACTCTTCACGTGTCTACAGGCAAAAATAAATAAATCAAGCCAATTATCAACAATATAAACTATAGAAATCAATTATTTGACATGTGAAGGTTGTGTGGTATTAGTATGTACCTTATGTTTGGTCATGGCTCCAACTATGAGAGGACACACCATTCCTGACAAAGTTCCCACTCCATTGGAGGTAATCATCCTATATCAAGTCCCTGGGGGTATATCAGAGCTCGAGTTGAAGCTGCTTCATCAAGCCCCTCATCAGTGGACAGCAAGCCAAATAAGTTTACACACAATTTCCTTAAGATTATATGGGCAAACAAACTTGTTAAATGACTATAAATTTGCATGGCAGTAATATCAGTAAACCTTTAATGTGCATAAAACAGATTCATCCACAGATTGATTGAATATGTGTGCATGTACTGTGTGTAAGCTTGTGAAAATGTGTATATGTGAGTAATATAGTACATCAAACGATGAAAACACTTGTGCACTCACCCAATGATGAAGATCTGGGTTGTTTAAACTCGCACACACATACGGTCATGTTGAAAGGACTAGTTTAGCCCAAAATGAATTAAACCTAATTTCTACAATATATGTAAAATATTTAACACACACACACACACACATATAAACAAACTTATAAACCACATAAAGAGTAAATAATGACAGAATTGTCTTTTTCAGTGACTGTCCCTTTAAGGATATTGGATATATGGATATAAGTGCACAAACTTATGATCAAATAAATGTCTACACATCCACAGATTTGCTTGAACCCTTTTAAACCATTTAAAGCACTGGATAAAACAAAAGAAACTGAGCACAGTACGGAAATTTACACAAACACTCACCATGAGCACACACAAAAGCTCAGATACTGTATACTCGTACACCACAACCATAAACATGTCTAACATCACTGTCATTTTAATTGCATTACAGTGATTTTGGCAGGAAGCCTATAATACTGAACATATAATTCACAGAGCACCACTGTATTCTCAATCTGACACAAATGACTCACATCTACACACACATACACTTCAGTGTGTATGTTTATAGAACAATCATCACATAATCTGATCATCAGTTTGGAAACTCATTTGCTTATTCACACACTCACACATTCACTCACTCACTGTGTCTATTTATTTACTCTGTATTGATCTTTATTCCTCTTTATAACTCTTAGATATCGACTCTAAGTGGTTTCTTCCCACTATGTGAGCTCTCTCTCTCCCTCTCCGCTATATAAATAACTATTTGTCCCGACTGGTTGAACATATTCTTCTGTTTTATCCCAATCTGATACCCATCCTGCCCCAGAACCTCCTCCATTCGGACCACCAGAATGGGGATTATTTATAGCTCCATACTGTCCACCAGTCCTGTACAGCTCTTCCGTTTCATTGGCTAGTTCGTCCTCTCCCAGAATGCCACACTTCTCCTCACTGGTATTCTCAGCATCCGCCCATGGCTGCTTCTCACCTGATGCAAAGATCCCTGAGAACATATTCAAATCCAGCATTTCAGGAGAGAAATGACAAAAATTATTTAGAATATTCATTATTTGTGAAATAAAAAGAGATTTCAACATGTTTGCATGTTGAAATTATGACTAGCTGTCTGAACACAACATACCATAAAAGATCACACCCCCATAATGCACCAGTGCTGCAATGAGGAAGACATATTGCCACTCTTCACGTGTCTACAGGCAAAAATAAATGAATGAGTAAATAAATAAAACCAATTAACAACAACAATAAACAACAGAAATCAATTATTTGACATGTGAAATTTGTGTGATATTAGTATGTACCTTATGTTTGGTCATGGCTCCAACTATGAGAGGACACACCATTCCTGACAAAGTTCCCACTCCATTGGAGATTCCCATCAGGATACTGGCATAACGTGGCGCAATGTCAAGATGATTCACATTAAACCCTGAAAGGGAAAGAATGTAAGAGGAATGTATTTGCAATACATGCATCTTAACAAGTATCTAAAACTGCAAATTTACATCTTACAATTGCAACTTTATTTCTCATAATTGCGAACTTATATCTCACGATGAGATTTTATTTCTTTTAAAGTAATTTTAAATTTTGTATTTGTGACTTTATGTCTAACAATGTTACTTCATATCTCATAATGTCACTTTTATATTTGATTATAATCATTATCCTATTTATCTTTTTTAATAAAAAGGCATAAATAGGCTTCCATAGAATATATAGTATCTGAGTAACTAGGGATAATACTTGTCCTCAATGGATGCAGCAGAGTGATAAACAGTACTGTTGAAAAGTTTGGGGTCATTAAGATTTTTTTTTTTTTTTAAAGAAATTAATACTTTTCTTTTGCAAGGATGCATTAAATTGATCAAGAATGACAGTAAAGGCAATTATAATGTTACAAAAGATTTCAGTTTAAAATAAATGCTGTTCTTTTGAACTTTCTATTCATCAAAGAATGCTGGGAAAAAAGTATTACGGCTTCCACAAAAATATTAAGCAGCACAACTGTTTTCAACATTGATAATAAGAAGAAATGTTTCCTGAGCAGCAAAACAGCATATTAGAATGATTTCTGAAGGATCATGTGACACCGAAGACTGGAGTAATGATGCTGAAAATTCACTTGAAAACAGTATTTTAAATTGTAATAATATTTCACGAGATTTTTGATCACATAAATGCAGCCTTGGAGAGCATAAGACACTAAAAACATGAAAAAATCCTACTGACCCCAAACATTTGAATGGTAGTGTACACAAAAGCTAAATTATTTCTTTAGTGTGTTTTGTCTTTATTCTTTTCTTTTACTAACCTGAAATTGCAAATCCACTGAAGCCAACAGCCAGTACAAGGAAAGAAATGGCTATTCCTTTGGTATGTGAGAAACCAACAACCAAGAGTAGAGTGGCTTCCATTCCAAACCCTAAAACACACACAGACACACACAACAGTACAGTCTCTTGGATAAAACATACAAGGTTTACTGTGGGTCATGGTGTACCGGTGTCTGATTATACCAATGCCACCCATTTCCTGCATGCTCTGATGCATCTGTCTCTGTGTTGTGCGTGTTTGTATGTTGTGTGTGCAGATGATTGTGAGAGAGTGAGTGTGTCATGCATTGATGCATCAGTGGTTAATGCCCCAGCTGCCATTGCAGGAGCAGACAGAGCAAAAATAGTGTAATTTGACTCGCATCTCACACACATATGTGGTTTCTGACTCTGCACACCCTCTGTTAATTAAAACACTTTGTGCACTGGATTTTACATTTATGACCTTTATTAAAGGGGAAGTTTACCAAAAAAATTATTATTGTGTCAAATTATGGGTATTTATTCAGGCTCATATCATTCTGTTGATCCTATATTAGTGCTAAAAGTAAAAAAAAAAATATATA